CCCAACCCCATCCTTCCCAACTCCCCCCCACGAAGCAGACTGTGCGAACGACAATAACAATAATATTATCATCACGATTATCAGCGGGCACGGCGCCAGCAGCCAATGAGATACCTCGTAGATCTTGGGCGTCTCGGGCACCGTGTCAATCTCGGGCTCGCCTTTCTCCATGCGCTTGGCCAGAATGCGCAGCCGTAGCTCCTCCTTCAACAAGGGCAACAGCTGATTGCTCCGCTCCGCCTCCTGGCACGCCCTCTGGAGGCGGGGGTCCGGGGTTCGGAACATGTTGGTGGGGAGGTTGGCGCTAAGCATCTCCATGGTGTCTTCGTCATCCTCGTTGAAGTTGTCGGTGCTGCTTTCCATGTCGGAGTGGTCGACGCTGCTGTTTGACGTCATCACTGTTGGGGATGGTGATGTTGCTGTTGGGGTTGGGGTAGGGGGAGCCTACCTACACCCAGTGTACGTACGACCTGCAAGTAAGTTCTGGAGAGGGGGGGAAGGGGAAGGAAAGATAGGTCAGGTGGGGGATGGATGGAGGAGTGTGTTTGTGTGTGTGTGGGTGTGTGTGAGAGTGTGTGTGTATGTGTGTGTGTGGGGGGTGTGAGAGTGTGTTTGTGTGTATGTGGGAGTGTGTGCGTGTGTGTGTGGGGTTTTTTTTTATACAAGCCCAGGCACTTGCTACATTAGGCGAATATTGCTCTTATCTGGATTGCTGTTAAGTGGACACTACTGTACTCAGGGACCACCAATAGTGGAATGAGGTTTTTACCAAGCGATGAAGTTGATTTTTTTCCTTCAGTCTGTCTCTTCAATCTTTTTCCTTTTCCTTTTCTTTATTTTTTAATTTTTAAAAATCTTTCATTTATTTACTCATTTATTCATGTATGTATTTGTCTATTTATTTATTTACTTATTCTGTTGTGTATAAAAGACAGATCAATGAACAGATCAAGAACTACATAAGGTTCCTCAACCAGGATGTGTACTCGATTTTACCATCCACAGGAGGACGAATAACTTGGACAGAAACTGTCCATGGCAGAAGTTAACAGCCAAAATAATGACCACTTTCCAATGCTTCATTTCCGTATTTACAACGGCTGGGAAATTTGCACTAAATGAATGAATGAATGAATGAATGAATGAATGAATGAATGAATGAATGAATGAAT